AAAAAAAAAAAAAAGAAAGAAATCGACCTGGACGCTTGATATCCTGCGGCCGTGTGAGAAAATTGAGTATTCATACCGATCGTTTCATTTCCTTTTGACTTTCGTGCGAGATCGACGCGTCTGATAAAAACCTGCCTTGTTACGATTATCAGAGTTTGTAAGTAGAATATTAGACAATGTTGCAATAAACTAAATTACGAATTTAACTTAGAAAATTGCAACAAAAGTGTCGTAAGTGTACGTAGAAAATATTTCCAAACTGGTGCATCGGATATTAAAATTCATTTCACACAATCGTAATATCGCTGCTAAAATAAATTGACAGTAATTTGCTTTTTAATGAAATTTTTGCGTGTTGTATCGAAAGACGTCACAAACAAAGGCGTCCATCAATCTGTCCAAAAGAGAAACCTCAATCTTTTTCATTTTTTCGGCCCGAACGATTCGAAATATTCTCGAGTTAAGTTTCCGACTAGAAAACTCAGCAAAAGAACACGGCTGTCGCGAATATCAAACGCGAAATCAGCGGAGAAACTGTCCGAACCATCTATACAAGCCACTTGTTTCTACTTGTACGGCAAATTTTCGTACTAAACAATAACGCAGTAACGAAAACGTGTTCGAGCGCCATGCATCAGGTCTGTTGTATATTTTCCATGCGGTGTTTGGGGCAAATTACGGAGCCGGGGAGATTCATGCGGAGCGTGTGACGTGTTTGTAGCAGACAGGTGGTAGTTCTTTAAGAGAAAGGGGGCCACGCAGTGCCGGCTGGGAATAAAAAAGAGCTGGTGTCACAGCGTCAATAGGAAGGCAATGTCACGCGTTCACGGCGTGGCCCTCCGCGTTTCTCCGGTGTCCCGGTGAAAAATTACGCCGCTTTTCACGTCAGCACGTTCGCTGACGACGGTGGAAGTAGCAACGAATCCCCCTTTCTATCCTTCCCTTTTGCGCCGCAGCAAAAAGGCCAGGAAATTGGAGTATCCAGATTTTGGAGAAAAATGCGATCGCGTTTCTTTTGTCCGGCGTTTTTCTGACGTTACGAGCGATACCTTCGTGACGCGTCGAATTCGAGAGGAAGAGAATTAAATAAGTGAAAAGTGAGATCGGTGAGTCGATCTTTCGAATTTCGACTCGGAAGCTTGAAAATTCCCGCACGTTCGGGGCTTCGAATCTTCAAATATTTGGATCTTTGAAGTATTGAATATGTGACCTATCAATCGTTGGCTCTACGAACCCTTGAATCGTGGAATCGTTGAATATTTGATTCTTTGAATTATCGAATGTATGATCTTTGAATCGTGAAATCATTGAATCTCTAAATATTCGAACCTTTGAATCTTCGAATCTTTGGACCATAGAATCGTTGAATACTTGAACATTTGAATATTCGAATCTTCGAATTATCGAATTATTGAATATATAATTCTTGAATGACGAAGTCATTGAATCTTTGAATCTTTAAATCTTCGAATCTTTAGATCATAGAATCGTTGAATAATTGAAATATTCGAATTCAATATTCGAATCTTTGAATTATTGAATTATTGAATATATAACTCTTGAATGACGAAGTCATTGGATCTTCGAATCTTTGAATTCCCGAATTTCTTTAAATATTTAGATCTTTGAATTTTTTATATTTTGAGCTTTTAGCTTTTTTTTAAATATTTTCATCTGTCATTTTTAGTAGAATTGGCGATATTTGACGAGCGTTTACTCGCAGAATATTTAACTTGACTCCAGTTTTATTTTGTTGTCTCTGATTCCGTAATATTTGCTTATATAAACAAAATATTGGATCACACTCATATTGGTCACGAGTATCATCAAAATTAATATTTGCGTTTCGCACTTGATGCACGCTGAACGCCAATTTCTATCAATAATGTATGCAATTATAAATGAACGTATTATGAACTACGACATGTGCTCGAAATTGATTATTAAACTAGACAGGTCATTCCATCGAACCTTGAAATTCAAGTTAATATTTTACTTTGAATTATTACAAATGATAGTTGTATTATATCGAGTACGCGATATTACAAATAATTAAATAAATAAAATACACGTTCGATAATCACCAGTAGCAAATTATTTCAGAACCAAATACGAAATAATTTTTTTCTTAATTTCCCGATCGGCACGCTGTCGATTCGATCCCACTTCCATCGCCGCGTTTTTCAAAAAAAAAAAAAAAAAAAAAA